GACTGGGGACTCCCAGTCCGCTTGCGCCTGGTCACATGGGCGACCTGCGCTGGCCAAAGAGGCGCGCGGCCATCCGCGGGCGCCGATTCTTCGTTTTCTGTGCAGCGCAATGCTGGTGACTTGCAGGACTGGGTGACCACGGGTCACGGGACCAGAAAGCCTCAGCAGTGCGTAAGTTCATGCCGTTGTTCTCCGAAGCCCTGAAGAGAACGCCAGCGGATCACGGAGCACGACTCCACGACGTCGGCGCATGCCAGTTCAGCTCAGGCTCGTATAATACAAAGGGAGTGGAAGCAGCCGATGCCCGCACTAGTTCACCAGCAGTGCAAGTCACGCGAAGAAAGTTCAGCACGGCAGGCAAGCGGCGGGGTCGTGAAGCAGCCCCGTCGTCTGTCCAGTTTGCCACTTTTGACTGCGCGCACGAGGTCGTGCATGCGCTGCGGCATCTGTCTGTGCAGGCCGTCGACGTCATGCTGGGCGTTGACCCACGCGGCCCCCAGCTCGAGTCGCTCTTCTAACTCCTCCTCGGTTTCAGTCCACGGCTGCGTCGGCAGGGCAATCCGCGACTTTCCCCTCGCCCACGACACGGCAGTCTCGCGTGGCCAGCCGCCCCCAGAGCACCCAAGATGGACACTGGCGTCGTCACCAGGGAACGCCTTGACCCTGTGCTCGCGCAAGGCCCGCTTGAACTCGCGCGCGACCGCCTTCATAGAACAACCAATCAACGCAGCCAAGGTCAATGAACACGACACTGGGCTGATCGGCTTCGGACCGCGCGTTTTTTGGCGACCTAAGTTTGCGAACGAAGTCGAGTATGCCGCTGACATGGTCGCCAGCGAACCAGACCCAAACTATTCGATGCGCAAATTACCCCGCGTGAGGACAGGCATCCAGTAGGCCCTCGCGCACTCCCTCCAGACGGGCACCAAGTTTATCTTGCTGCCGCGCATGTTCGCGCGCTCGTGCACCGCGTCGCCGGGCATCCATCCTGCGCCCGATTGTCTGCGCGAGGGCTCGCGCGCTGGCCTTCCGAACGGTGGCGGGCAAAACGGCGCCGCGGGTGCCCGCTCGGACAACGCGCCGCTAATTCCTATTGCGCGCATGCTTCAGTGACAACATGGATTTGCCAATGGCCACGCGCTTCGGAATGTTCGCGGCAGCGCGGCCGCCGTTGCCTGGCGTTTTCGGTAAGACCACGGCGCGCCCGGATCGAGGCCGGAGCAGCGATTTTCCACGGTGTCACGCGCGATTTGCTTGCTGAATGGGCACCGCCCGGACCAGATGGCGGGGCCACGCGCGGGCTCAATCCCGCGCTCTTTCGTGGCCATCGCGCTGGCCGCGACGGCCGCTTTGGATGTCTCATTCAGAGCCGTCGAGCGACCGCCCGGGCCCCCAGATGCCCATCCATCGCACTCACCAGCCCGCCGGTTCAACTTGCGCGCGGGCATTGACGCCCAGGGCCCCGCATGTAGACGCGGTGTGGAATCGGAACCAGAAATCTTTATCTGCCACTGGTTGCTTGGATTTTGGATCGTAGACATTGGGTTGAATTATTTTCCGGCGCGCCCTTGGTTCCGTTGCCTGCTGCCCCCTCGAACCAAGCGAACGCGGCCATCGCGAGGCGCTGCGGGCCTCCTCGAGAACGACGCGCGCGCTCTAGATGCAAGTGCATGTATGAGTGGAAGACGACGCGATGCGCGATGCATCGGCCCCGCGGTTGGTTCGAGTGGCCCCCGAACAGACATCGAGGCCACATGTGCCTATATAGTCGCGGCTTGATCCCGTTCGATCAGCGCGAAGTCCAAGGCTACCTGGCAATGTCGTCGGGAACCTTCATGCCCGAACGAATACGTGCACCGGTATTCTCCGCGGGCCTCAGGCGCAAGGCCGCGAGCGCCGCGCCGCAGATCGGCGCGCGCGCTAAAGCGAGGGCGCGGCCCTGAGTCGATCGGCCTGCCGCCTGCCCCCGCGAGGCCACGTGAAAGATGTCGTTGTTTTGGGCGTGCCAAAATCGCTAATATTTCATTTCGACGGTCGCGGGTCTGGGTTGCGCCCCTGTCCAGGGCGGTCCTATTGGCTCCCCAAGGCTCCCGTGGAGCTCTTGGGCCCACTTGCGTCAGTGTGAGTTCTTGGAGACGTCTTGGAGACGTCTCGGCGACGAAATACGGATCTCTGGGTTTCGCCAGGCGCCCGGGTGGTTTCTCTGCGCGGTCAAGCTGACGTGGGCCCCCCCTGGAGCCCCCAGCCGCCCAGAGAGCGCCATTGGCGCGTTGAGGGTTTCCTTCAGGCGGCGGGCCTTAGCGTCCAAATGTCGTGCGACGCCGTGCTTGGCGCCCCTTCAAATCGCAAAGCCGGTTGATTCGCGCATCGGGCGTCGCGTCGCGCAGATGTCGCCTTCATTGTCATCAGTGACCATTTGGGCATGCGGACCATTGAGTGACAATCTACAGGCCGACAAGCGAAAGATAATGATTTCTGGTCCCCATGGAATCCACTGGCGCCCCCCGCGCGCCTGGTCTCCGCGCGGCCCCACCCCGCGACTCCTTCAGTCCATAAGTTGCGGCCTTTCGCCGCGGGGACATGCAGCCACATTTGCGAGCCTTCCCCCGCGATTGGGACCACCCCCGCCGATTGCCGTCGAAGAACCTAGGCGCGTTGACCTGGCGCGGAGCAGCAGCTGGCGTTGCGGCGGCAGGTGGCGAAGGCCTGGACTCTTATGGATATCTGAAGGAATCCCAGGGATTCCCAACGGATTCTTATGGGTTTCCAAAAGAACCCGATGGATTTGCCGCAAGACCCAATTGTTTTCTTGAGGAATCCGCTGGCAAACCTAGGGAACCTGGTTGTTTTTTATTTTTATGAATGTTCGTGATCATCTCGACCGCCATCATCGTGATCATCTTCATCATTATGCTGAGATCTCTGGGAAAACCTTTGTTGTCTCAGGACCCTGAATTTTCTCATCACCAGCTTACCAGGGGATTATTACCGGGAGCTGGTGGTTATTCAAAGAAACTGATGGCAACCGCGTGGGATACCCTGCGTTTCTTCAGAGGGTGCTCAACGGGTCCGTGCGGAGTGTCATCAAGCTCGGCGCAATCCCGGTCGGGGTGTCTATATTTCTGTTGCAGATTTCGCCGCGCCCCAACAAAAACATAACTTCAAAGGAACAATGTGATGCCTGTTTTCCTGGGTCTGGGGCCCCGCTGTATTTAGAAGAACATTGGAAGAGACGGCGTTTGTACTTACGAAGTCGAGAAGAACCCATCAGTCGGCCCCGGGGAGCGGAGGATCAATATTTCTCATGATCGGAGCGACGATTTTGCGAAAGGTGTGTGTGTGGGCATGTCCATGTGTATGTGTATGTGCATGTGCATGTGCATATGCATGTGCGTGTGTGTGTGTTTGTGCGTGTGCGTGTGCGTGTGCGTGTGTATATGTGTGTTTATGTGTGTGTGTGTTTGTGCGTGTGCGTGTGCGTGTCTATGTGTGTGCGTGTGCGAGTGCGTGTGCGTGTGCGTGTGCGTGTGTGTGTGTGTGTGTGTGTGTCGTTGTCTCCAATGATCCCCGTCGAAGTCCTTTTAAGGTGCTAAACGATCTCGCAGCCAGCTCAACAGCTTCACACTCAGTCCTCGAAACGCCCTGCAGGTCAGTTGTTCGAGCTCGGGGCCTGATGCCCAGGACAGGCCTGGTCCATTTCGGCGGTTCGTATTTTGCGGCGTTTCGATGACCGAGAAGGCGGAGGAGAGATAGGTGATAGAGGTTGAAAGGGGACGATAGTTCGACGACGGAGAATCGAGAAGGAGAAGGAGGAGGACGAGGGAAAGATGAACGAAAAGGACGAGGGATCGATATTGAATCAGAGTGGCGCCCCTGCGATAAAAGACCGTGTTTGAGGCCTCCTAGATTGGGTCGGAGCTGATGGGGTCGGAGAGTCGCGCCGCATCGCCGAGGCATCGCCGATGCGGCCCGATTTGCTTCACGCCGACGTCGCCGACGCATCGCCGACGTCGCCGATGCATTACCAGTGCGTTGCCGATGCATCGCCGATGCATCGTCGATGCATTGGCGATGCGGCGTGATCTTCCCAGCCCATCTCCTCCGACCCCATCCAGGAGTCCTCGTACGTGTGCGCGCGAGGATTCAGCACGGGCGCTCAGCCCTCTAGCCGTCTTGGCTCTCGGCGCTGGCGCCGCTTTTGGTTGCAACCGGTCTGCTGAGCCCGCGGGTGGTCAGCCCAGCGATTGGCAGACAGTGACAGCGAATGGTCGCACGTAAGGATCTCGGGACCCCGCAAAGGGGGATTGTGCCCCGGTGTGTGTGTGTGAGTTCGATCGGTTTTTGCACCCAACCACCCCAAGCAGATGCCCCCCAGCCGCAGGCAGCTCCCGGTAGTTGCCGATGGCTGGGGCATGCGGGATGCATCTGGTTGTGGCAGTCCAGTGCACCAACGGATCGAATTCATGCCCCCCTTCTGGGTCCCCCCTTCTTTGGTGGATCCCGATGTTCGGATTCCGCACGCACTTGCATGATGCCAAAAACGCTGGGGGCGTTGTCTTGGTTTCCGAGATCGACGCTTTTGCAGTTTCGGCGACCGCTGTTGCTTAGTTGTTGGCGTTCGCGAGTGTGTTCCTGTTTTGATACATGGTGTTTCTGTTTTGGGCTGCAGTTTTTTGTTCAGTGTTGGTTGACCGAACACCGATTTGCTGAACACGAGAAAAAAAACGCCCCTTGGGCGTTTTTCAACATAGAGTAAGGTCCAGCAAGTGTTCTCTTCCGCGCCATCCTGTTAAAAGCCTAGTTTGAGGGACAGTTAAGAGAGACGAAGCCAACGCTTTAGCTCAGGGAAGCCGTAGGCACAGCTATGTGCACATTTCGTGCCCTGGTATAGCCAACCACGATCTGCAATCTGCGTCCTTCCGTTGTGGCTCGACCTCTCGGGGGATCAGCAGACCGTCGATTGCCGACCCCCCTTTTGGCGCTCGACCTTCGCCGCAACCATGGCGGCCGCATTCAAGCGCTTCGTGCCCTTGGCCGACCGTATTCTGGTGCCAATGTTGCGGGGCACAGTCTGGCGGAAAGAATTGTAGAAGATTTGCGGGATGTTCCTCCTGTTTCTGTTGTCCCATCGCTCCTGTGTTGGGTGCTCGCTTTGAATGGAGCAGTGTGGTCACGTCTCCCGTCCTCCCCCCTCCTCCTGTCCCTTGCCTCCTGTCTCCTCTTTCCTGCCCTCTGCATCTCTCGTGAGTTCCTGGGAGGTCGCCCAGAGTGGAGGCACACGGGGACTCAGTTGAGACCTCGCGGCTCCCTGGGGGGGCTGCAAGGTGTCAAAGTGTCGCCATTTTTCCTCGGCTCTTGGGAGGTCGCGCGGAGTGGAGTTGTACGGGACTCGCTTGAGACCTCGCGGCTCTTTGGGGGGCTGCGAAGTGAGAAATTCTCGCCACTTTCGTGGGCTCCTGAAAAGTCGCTCGGACTGGAGTTACACTGGAATTCAGTTGAGACCTCGCGGCTGCTCAGGGGGCTGCGAAGCGTGCAACTGTCGCCACTTTCGTGCCGCTCGGCGCTGTCGCATCGCAGTTCGCAGGGAACCACTGCGCCACGCAGCGCATGGCGCTGTTTTTTTGTCCGCGTGGCCTCCCATCCTCAGCTGCCTCTGGCCCGCCACACCATCTCGTGGGCTTGCTTCGCCCAGCGCGACGCGTTGATTTGCTATATAGAGCGCATGGCGCTGTTTTGTCCCGCGTATGTAGCGCTCGGCACTACTGATGTTATTGAACATGTATGCCCCCCTTCAACCTCCTCCGTTTGCTTCTGCCGCCGCCCCTCCCTTGCCATTCCTCATGGTTTCGCACACGCACGAGAGCTCACGCGTACCTCAGGTCCTGCATCATGTCTGTTTGTATTGAGCTGCCTTGAATAGTTTTATATGCGCCGGATGTTTGGAAAGTGTTGGGTACGTCACTCGGTGATGTGTTTATCTTCCCCCCGCCCTCCTCCCCTTCTCATCACTTCTTCTCCAGGTGCTGATGTACCGAATGTAGTTTGTAGGGGAAACGGCCATGATATATCCGCGCAGTCCAGCTCGAATGTCTCAGAGTGGCGCATGGCCACATCATCCTAGGAAGACCAGCTTAGAGGGCGGGGCTGGAAGGGGGAAAAGAGAGGGGGCGGTGCACGAGGGGGACAGGAGGTAAAAAGAAAAAAGGGGGGGAAGGATAGAAGGGGGATGAGGTGGGTAGCGGCGGAAGAAGGGAGAAGGAGGAAAAGAGTGCAAGCAAAATGTGACGGAGTCGTGGGGGGTCTTGGGTGTGTCGTTTCTCCACCCCCATTTGCTTCACCCTCCCGCGCCCAAACGGCAGCGCGGTGCGCTCTACGGGGCGCAGTCGAAGCGTGGAACCCTGAGGGTGCAACGTGCGTGTGGGGACCCGAGAGCGTGGCGCCCTGCGTGCGGAGCCGCGCGGCGGAAAGGGGCCTCCAGCCTCGCCCGCCCTCGGCGGGAGGCCGGCGGGCGCCGTCGGAAGTGGAGCGGCGGCGGGCGCCCGCCGGCGGAAGCTCGGCGGGAAGCTCGGCGGAGGGCGGCGGGGCGCACGCGACGGGTGTCGGGCGTGCGGGTCTCCTCCTCCTCCTCCTCCTCCTCCTCCTCCTCCTCCTCCTTCCCTGGCGCCCCCCCCTCCGTGCCATACCCCAGCCGGCCCGCCCGGGTCTGCTGCCGTGATCCCTGGGCTGGAGCGTCCCAGGAGGCGGCGGGGGCAGGGTTGCGACCATCCCTGTGGTGTTGGGGTCCTCGTTTTGAAGAGGCAGCGCCCCGCGTCTCCCTCCTCCTCCTCCTCCTCCTCCTCCTCCTTCTCCTCCTCCTCCTCCTCCTCCTCCTCCTCCTCCTCCTCCTCCTCCTCCTCCCATCCCCGCCTCAGCCCTCCGCACCAACCAACAATTTCGGCAACGCTCATACGCTTCGTGGCCCCATGGGGAGCTCCACGGAAGGTCCCAGAGGCTGCGTTCGAATTCGCCCACCGCACCCAGTTCGGCACACCCCTCGCACGATTCGTGGCCCCAGAGGGAGCTTCACCGAAGGCCCCAGTGGTTGCGTTCGCACGCGCCCAATCCAGTTCGGCAAATCCTCCGCACGCGCACACCGCAACAGTTCGGCACACCCCTCACGCGCGTCCTGGCCCCACAGGGAGCTTCACCGAGGTCCCCAGTGGGTGCGTTCGCATGCGCGCCCACCGCATCCAGTTCGGCACACCCATCGCACGTTTCGTGGCCCCGTACGGAGCTCCACCGAAGGGCTCAGTTGCTGCGATCGCATGCGCCGACGCACCCTTTTCGACGACACACTCCGCACACGTTTTGTGGCCCCACAGGGAGCGCCACCGAAGTCACCATTCGCATGTGCCCACCGCATCTACTTCGGCATCCATTCAAACGTTTCGTGGCCCAACAGGGAGCTCCACCGAAGGCCCCAGTGGGTGCGTTCGCATTCGCCCACCGCACTAATGTCGGCACACCCCGCGCACGATTCGTGACCCCAGCGGGAGCTGCACCGAAGGCCCCAGTGGCTGCGTTCGCATTCTCCCATCGCACACATTTCTGTATGCACCTCACGCGCTTCGTGGCCCCGTAGGGAGCTCCACCGAAGGCCGCAGTGGCTGCGTTCGCATGCGCCCACTGCACCGAAGTTGGTACACCCCTCACACGCTTGGTGGCCAAACAGAGAGCTCCACCGAAGGCCCTAGCGGCGGTGCTCGCTTGCGCCCGCACCGCCTATTCTGACACACCCCTAAACCGTTGCGTGGTCACATGGGGAGCGTCACCGAAGGCCCCAGTGGCGGTGTTCGCACGCTCCCGCCCCACCCATTTCGGCTCACCACTCACACGCTTTGTTGTGGCCCCATAGGGAACACCACCGAAGGCTCCAGTGGCGGTGTTCGCATGCGCTCACCGCCTATTTGGGCACATCACTCACACGCTTCGTGGCCCCGAAGGAGCTCCACCGAAGGCCCAGTTCCCCTCAAGCGCTTCGTGGCCCCATACGGAACTCCAACGAGGGCTCCAGTGGCTGCGTTCGCATGCGCTGACCGCGCCCATGTCGGTATATTCCTCACACGTTTCGTGGCTCCCGACGTACGGAGGCCCACGGATGACGATATTCACAGCTCCCTTATTCACAGCTGCATTTGGCTGGGTCCTTCGCCAGGCTATGTTGTTCTCGGTCCGCGGCGAGGTGCGTCCAACAAGCGGTCAAGCAAACGGCTGGACGCATCCGTTGCGAACAGAGGCACAGGGGCGCAGGCGGGCGATGGGGCGGGGAGAGGGAGGGGCGGGACGGTTGGAGAACCCTGAGATCCTGCAATTCGGGTCTCCAGAGACGGGGGTACATGCAAACGGGTGTCAGCCAGAGCGCCCGATCTTGCAACATCCTGCAGGACCAGGCTCGTATTGACCCGGGCTTCGGTGCAGGATCCCGCAGGATCTTGCAGGATCCTTCGCGTTGGCCCGGGTTTGGGCGCATGATCTTGCAAGAGTTTGCAGGATTCTGCAAGGCCTGACTGACCCAGGTCTGGATGGACCCGGGTCAGAAGATCCCCGAGAAGTGTTTGGGATCAGGCTCGCATTCACGACACAGCCAGTGCAGACGAAAGCGGCCAGGGATAGCGACCGAAGTAAACATGAGACGTCAGCCTGTTTGCGCTCAGTGCTTTTGGAGCCAGCGCCATATGCATGGACCCCTAAGGGTGAGACCACACGTGTCGAACCCCGTGTGTGGAGCCCCGCGTTTTCGGAACCTTACGTGGAGAGATCCAAAGATGCCATAGCAGGCCTGCCAGCCGCCCGAAAGTTCGCGGCGACCAGTGGCAGCGGAGAGAAGCCAGATGGAAGCGAGCACCAGCCGGAGTGGGCAATGCGTACCCGCATTCCTTGATGGTAGCACGTGTTGGAACCGAAGACCGTTTGCCGAAACCGTTGGCAAATCTGTTCAAACAGATGCACGAGGTTTTTGAAAGCTCTGAAACAAGTTTTTACGACGCATAGCTGGAGCTTTCTGGATGCCTTTCCAGAGGACCCCCATAAGCGTCCCATAACATATTCAGAAGCATGCGATGAGTCTCCTGGGTGCATCGCATAAGCCCCAGGGGAATCGGACGCGTTTCAATTATCCCAGAAGCCTCTCGGAAGTTTATCACAACATTATCAGAGGACTCGCATAAGTTCTTCAGATGAGACCATTTGTGATGGTTGCGTTCGGACTCAAGTAGTTCGGGAACAGACCGAATCATAGTCATCTTGACGATGGTCTGCTAATCCACTTCTATCTGCCAGGCCGCTTCCCAGACGGCCTTTGCTTCTCATACGGACGTCTGGGCCGACGGAGAGTAAAGCAGGCTGCTCGGTCAGCGGACGAGTGCGCGGAAGAGTAGGAGGAGGGCGGATATGGAGCAAGAGAGTAGAAGGGGGCGGAGGAGAATTGCGGATGAGGGAAGGAGGAGGGAGGGGGAAGGGGAAGGGAGCCATCGTTGCGTGGAGTCACGCATGGGGCATGCATAAATACTATGAGTCATCGTTGCGGGGAGTCACGTCGGAATTCGGAATGCTTAGAGTCCTGATCAACCATGCGCAGTCAGCCCGCCGAGAGCATTTGCCTTCCAGGTATGACGCTGTGTCGTACCCGAGTCGAGGTCCCACCCTCCTCTCCCCTTCCCCTTCCTTGGCTCCGTCCCCCTCCTCTTCCACACCCAGTGGGGCTGAGCCCGAGCGCGGGCAACCGTACGCTGTCGGCGGCCCCGCTTGGTCCGCCCCACTCCATATGCGGTTAGGCCGAGTCGCCCATCTGGCTGTCAACCATTCGAAGGGTTCCAGCAGAGGGCCTCCGCCTGGTCGCTGCAGGGTCGCTTGCGTCGCCCCCCCCCCTGGGCCCGCTAACCCCTGCAGAAAGGGGACCGCGCCCGGGGTCTCCTCATGCCGCCCCAGCGGGAGGGACGCCAGCCAGCCCTGGCTCCGTCCCCTTCCTCTTCCAACACCTCGGGTCCCTCCCCCACCAGGAAACAAAACCAGGGCCTCGACAAATTTGTTTTGCATTTTTTTGCCATATTGATTGGTGGGAACAAATGCGGTCGTCGCCGCGCGCTTGCCCTGATTTAGCAATGTCGGTCGACGGACGCACGCGAAGCGCGTGTTACACCCATTCCTCCCCTCCCCCAACCCTCACCCATCTCACCCTCCCTGCTCGTCTGGAGTGTCGCCAGTCCAGGGTCACTTTCCTGGCGACGCCGTGCCGTTTTGGTGACCAAGGCCCTAGAGAGTACCGCGGTGGCCTCCTCAGGATCCTCGATCCTCTAAGCTCGAACCTCGATCCTCAATCCTAGAGCCTCGAAGTTGCATCCTCGAACCCCGAGTCTCAAGCCTCCAACTTCGATCCCCAGGTGCAGAAGCTGAAGGCCGACGTCAAGTCCGCTGGCGGGATTCTGTTGCCGGACTCTGCCAAGCAGGAGTGGGGGGACAGGCGGGGCAGGGGGGGGAGGCCAGGAGCGGGAGGGGAAGGAAGAGCGGGGGATGGTAGGGGGGAGGTACCCACACAAAAGGGCTCAAGCTTGACTAAGCCCTGAATCACTCTTCATAAATAGCCCCATCGCAATGTGTGGGGTACGATCATGACATGGAGGGGTATTCCTCCTCGTCCTCCGTATCTTCTTCCTTTCCCTTCCTCACTGCTCTCCCCTCCCCTCCTGCCCCGCCTGGAGGAGGAGGAGGAGGAGGAGAAGGAGGAGGAGGACGAGTGGCAGGAGGAGAGTGTGGTTTCAGGATGCAGAAGAATGAGCGACAACAGGAGGTAGTAGCAGGAAAGCGGGCGCGACGGCGCGGAGGGGGAGGAGTACCAGAGGGGGGGCGAGAGTGTCGGATCGTTGCTGGGTGCAGAGCGCAGGAAAACGCAGGAGTATGAAGGAGGTGAAGGAGAAGTGAGAGAAGAAGTCTGCCGATGTCAGAGAAGGATATGGCGACGAACCATTCGGACCTGTGCCGCACCGCTACCAATGGCCCCTATGAGGTGATAGTGATTGCTCGCCCAGAACTCTGGGTTGAACCGCTTATGGCTTGCAGCCACAGGCAAGCCATGTGATGATCTTCTGTACATCTGAAGGATCTCTCCGTAGTCGTATCCAACGTTTCCATTCGCTGTTGTCAGCAGCGTGTGGCGGGTGCACACCGACTTGTCCCTCGCCGCTCCGCCATGCAACGCCTCTTCCTCGGGCCGGACCCTCCGACCTGGACCCTTCCCCTGGCTACATCCATCCTCCTTGCATCCCTCCTTGCAGTGAGGACGGCCCCCCTTTGGGCTCCCCGCCTGGAGCTCCACAGGTTGGCACGGCCGAAATGGGTACGGCACAAATCCAAGGGCGCCCTCGAGGGCGCGAAGTTATTCGCGCTTCGCGCTTCGGATTCCTCATCCTCCTCTTCTCCCCTGGGAGGCGGCGCGAGAGCGCGAAGTTATTCGCACTTCGCGCTTCGCGCTGCGCGAAGCGCGAAGTTGGGAGCCCTTGAAATCGGTACAATGCCCAGCAGCACACGGTGCGCTGCAAGAAGGGGGCCGCGGGATCGAGGATCGAAGAAGTTGCCGTCGCTTTCTCGGCGGAAGCCGGTGATGGCAACGCGAGGCTGCCTTCGCCGGCGGAAGCCGGCGAAAGCCAGCGTAACTAAGAATTGTTCTCTCAAGGGATGGCAAGGTTTTTTTGAAGGGGCCCCAGGACACACAAATAAATACACACAAATAAAACGATTCCCCATATTTTATCATATTTTCAGGGTTTTTGTCTTCCCCCCCACTTCCCATATTTTCCTATATTTCCGGGGAATCGACGATTAATTGTGTCTGTGTGTTTCTTTCCCTCCTGATTTTTGATTCAGGATGTCCAAGGGCCAGCCCAATGCTGTCCAAATCAGACAGCGGTCGTTATTCGGCAGGCGACTCTTTGTCTCAAGTGGACCATGCAGCGGCGGCACAGACAGCGATTCCGGGCCAGAAATGGCCAGGAGTGGTTGTCAGTTTCCATCCCCATCCTTCCTGTGACCAGCAGATCTCCCCTCCCCTCTTGTCGGGGACCTTGGGACGCGCGTCCATGCAAATGGGGGTCAGCCAGAGCGCCAGGTATGGCAGGATCTTGCAAAGCCAGGGGTGTGCACTGACCCCAGCTTGCGCTCAGGATTCTGCAGGATCTTGCAGGATCCTGCCAAGCCCGACTGTCCTGGGTTTGCATTGACCTTGGTACAATCGGCAGTCGGGCCGTTGAAGAAGAAACCCCTTCCTTGGGGGGGGCCTCAGTGCTACTTAATCGTTTTACGGTTTTCCTGGGTTGTCCTTAGGTTTTCGAGGGGAGATCGAAATTGAACTCTAAGGGAAGAAAGGGGCCACGCTCCTTATCTAGAGGGTTCCTTACGATAGCCCTTCGACTGCATGTACACGGGAACGAAGAATGGCATAAACATACAAACTCGGAGGTCCGCGCGGATTTCTCGGACCCGCGCTGGGCGCCCCTGGCGGCGGCGCCTCCGGCGCCGCCCCTGGCGCGCTCCGCGCGCCAGGGAGGGGGGTCCAGCGCCGATCCGAGAAATCCGCGCGGACCTCCGAGTTTTTATGTTTATGTCATTCTGCGTTCCCCTGGTGTAGATGCCCGACCCTCGAGCGGATCGCCCGCCGAGCCACCTGGGTTGGGGTTTTTTTCCTCCTCCTCTTCCGCCTCCTCCTCCTCCGGCTCCTGCTCCTGCTCCTCCTCCTCCTCCTCCTCCTCCTGCTCCTGCTTCTCCTCCTCCTCCTCCTCCTCCTCCTCCTCCTCCTCCTCCTTCTCCTCCCCCGCCTCCTCCTCCTCCTCCTCCTCCTCCTGCTCCTCCTCCTCCTCCTCCACCTCCTCCTCTTCCTCCAGCCATTTCCAGGTTTCACACCTTTGTGGCAGCGCGATTGGAAGTGGCACAGCTGTCACGAGCCAAGTGCATGGCCCCCGTGCAGCCGCCGCGATGCGCTTCCGCCGCCGCTTCGACAGTGGAAGTGCAACGGTCGCTGTGGGGGCGACAAGAATCGAGGCTGGCGCACTCAGTGCCAGCAGTGTGGGAAGAAAGCGCCGCCCTGGGTCCTCAGCGCCATCGAGGAGCACGGGACTCAGGAGCCGTCCACGGCGGCGCCGCCGAAGGCTGGGGGCAGCTGGGGCAAGGGGCCCCCGCAGTCCACTCGCACGGCGGAACAGCTCAAGGAGGAGGCGATGGTGCAGGCGAGGCGGGAGCTCCAGCAGGCGCTTCTTGCCAACCCTGCCAAGCACGGTATGTCGGCGGGACAAGCACTGGCGGCCTCCGCGACGCTGGTGCCCGTCGAGGTTGACGAAGACATGGGGGGCGCTGCGAAGGTGGACTTGGCGCCCAAGTCTCTTCAAGATCTGCACCTCCGCAAGACCAAGAAGGAGAAGCAGCTGGAGAAGGCGACTGACCGTGTGCAGCGGGCGCGTGAGGCGCTCGCGGCCAAGCAGCAGGAGCTGGATCAGGAGCTGGACTACCAGAAGCAACATCGTGAAGCGCTGGCTGAGATCAGCGAAGTCATCAGGAAAAAGGAGCTCGCCAACGCAGTCCCAGTCCTCGGGAAGGTCGCTGAGGGCAAGAACGACGTCGGCACTGCCAGCGAGCTCCTCGGCCTCATGCAGGAGGTCCTCGGCCAGCTCAAGGCCTCGGAGCACCTGGCTGGGCTGGCTGCCCCGCTCACGGCCTTCGGCACAGCCCTGGAGCAGGAGGCCGTCGCCATCAAGGCCAAGCTGGAGGAGCAGGCCAAGCGGAAGCAGGAGCAGGAGGCGGCTGCTGCAGCTGGTCAGGCACCTGGCGGCGGCGCTCGTGCTGGCAGCACTGGCGATGCTGACGGCGGGATGCAGTTCGACTTTGAGGACCCAACGTTGCCAGAGCGTCTCCGTGCAGCTGGTTTCCCCGAGTGTGACCTGTCCAAGCCTGAGGATCGGGAGAAGCTCAAGCGGTTCCAGGAATGCCCCATGCCCGCCAAGATGGCTAAGACGGACTCGCCTAGCCTTTAGTGCAGCAGAGGTTATGGGCCTCCCTGGTGGCACGCACTGCTCAGTCGCCAGCGAGAGCAAAGGGGGCGCAAGAGGGCGCCAGCCTTCGGGTACGCACTGCTCGGCGCCACCCCGCTCTCCATCGGAGGCCAGAGGGTACCGACCACCAGGGGCTGGCTGCCTCTCGAAGATTGGACGGCTGCAACAAGTCGGGCTCTTTTCCCCTTCTGGCGCTCGAGGCGGACCTCGTGGAGCCGCAGCTGAAGGGCGAGCCGGGGGAGCTGGAGGACTTGACCATTGTCTCGCCCAATGTCACGTTCTGGTCCAAGGCTCAGGACTTATATGCATGGTATGCAGAGGCCGACGCGAACAGGGAGGCCCCAACTGTCTTCCTGATCCAAGAGCGTCGCCTCAAGCTTGACAAGCAGATTAGCTCTGCCCAGCGGTGGGCTGGGCGCAGCATGTCAGGTGGGCGCCTGTTGATGGGTAGAGCTGATAGCACTGGTGAAGGCGTGATGGAGTCGTCAGCAGGTGTGGCTGCATCCTCTTTTGCACCCGCTCTGGCCCGCGAGGTTCCTACGCATCTGCGGCGGGGCCTGCCAGGCAGTAGATGCCAGGTTGCGGTCATCAACACTGGGCTACGCGTGCCAGTCTACGTCCTCTCGGTGTACCTGACGACGAAGGCGGGCATGGCAGAGCCGAACATCTCCTTCCTTGGGGGCCTGCTGCAGCTGGTGACGCTGTTGCCTGGGCCCTGGATCGCAGGAGGGGACTGGAACTTAGAGCCGCATGACCTTCACGAGTGGGCTAAGCGTGCACGTGGAGTTGTGGCGGCCACCGATGACGCCACCTGCGGCAGCAGGAAGCTCGACTTCTTCATTTGCTCTCAGGTCCTTGCGCACGCGGGCTTGGAAGTCGCAACGGTGTTGGGCACGCCGATCTGCACGCACGCGCCTGTTCAACTGAAGCTTCGAGGGCTCCATGTGAGGGCCATGGTCACTGCAGCTGATGGGCCTGAAGGCTTCCCACTACAGCTTCCCCCTCCCGCGCGGCCTGCACCCGGGGAAGTTGGCGATTCAGAATGGCACTGGGGGGCAGGCTCGGAGCCTGTGGATATCCAAGCTGCAGCCAAGCACTGGTTCATGCATGCAGAGGACTACCCCTGCCAGCTGCGCGACGTCTACGAGAGGCGACGGGGGCGCGCAGCTGGGCTCAGGCTCAAGCAGGTTCCGCTGGCTCAGGAGTGGAGTCGGCAGTTCAAGACACGAGCTTCACTGGAGTTCAGGCGGATGGCGCCCCTCAAAGCAGCTCCTCGGCGAGCAGCACAGCAGAAGGCCTACATGCTGGAGCGGGGCTGGGTCAGGTTCGCGTGCCTCAACAGGCAGCTGCAGGTCATCGGGTGCTTCGTCATTGAGGATGGCTGGTGGCCGTCGCAAGGGGCCCTGGCGCAGATGACAGTTGCCAAGGTGGTCAAGGTGCTGCGGTCTGGCAGCGCTGGCGCAGCTGCCTACCTGCTGGAGGCGCTCGACAGCCACCTGCTGCAGCTGCGGCAGCGGGACACGCAGGTCAACCAGAGCGAGTGGAAGGCGTGGGCCTGTGCTGCGGCCCTGGTGAGGGGCGGCAGTGCGGCCTTCGGTTTCATTCGCGCTGGTCAGCAAGTCCAGCCATCAGTTTTCGAGGTGCTGGATGGAGAGCAGGAGCAGGTCCTTCCGCTGGGTGGCGATGCTGCGATGGAGAAGCTCATGCGGCAGCGGGGCCCGCCGTGGCAGCACGGGCTTCGTGCTGAGGAGCCTCACCCCCACACCTGGCGAGGCGAGGGCTTCGACGCCGAGGGGCTGCCGAGGCTCACGCTGCAGAACCTGCGCGAGGTGATCGACGCCTATAGCGACAAGGCGGGCTTGGGCTGGGACAAGTTCCACCCCAGGCAGCTGAGGTGGATGCCGCAGAGCTACCAGCTGAGGTTCCTGGATGTTCTCCACGCGTGGGAGAGGGGCCCGATAGACATGCCGCTCTTTCTCATGCTGATCTCCTTCCTGCCCAAGCCCCCGCCTGGGGGAGGAGTGCGCCCCATCGTGCCCAACTGCCTGTGGCTGAGGCTCTGGAGTCGAATGAGACAGCCGTTGGTGGCAGACTGGGAGAGGCACTTGGAGGGCGACTTCTACTGGGGAGGCCTGGCCAGGACGTGCGATCGAGCTGGGCACGCTCACAATTTGCTGGCGGCGCATTGTGTTCAGGTTGACGGCATGGCGGCAGGGACGGCCGCGCTGGACCTCAGTAAGTACTACGAGCACGTGTCGCACGACATACTGCTCAGGGAGGCGAAGGCGACGAAGTTTCCGCTGGTTCTCCTGGGGGCGCTCTGTTGTGCTTACAGGCTGGGACGCAGGGCGCAGCATCAGAATGCCCTCTCGGTCGTGGTGCACGCGAATGACACCATAGCGGCAGGCTGCAGCTGCGCGCTGGGGCTCGCCAAGCTCATGGTCCACACGCTGCTGTTGGAGCAAGCTCGGCGCTATCCATTGGTGAGGGCCCAATCTTTTGTGGATGATCAACTATTGCAAGCGCTCGGCACTGCGCGCCTGGTGGGAGAGCAACTTCCTGCAGCTCTTCGGTTTGTCGTGGACGGCCTCTCGGAGCGGAAGCTGCAGGTCAACTGGGACAAAATTGGGTGGCTGTCGGGCGACCCCGAGCTTGCGAGCATCCTCGGTGCGGCCTGGGAGGGCGAGCTCGAGCGCGCCCGAGGCCTCCGCTGCCTGGGAGGCGACGGCTCGTCTGGAGTGCTGCGCAGTGTGGTTGAGCAAAATAAGCGCCTTGCCAAATCCCAGAAGTCTGCGGATCGTGTGCACACCCTGAGAGCTGCGGGCGCCAAGGTTGAGAAGGTCTTTCGGTGCTCCCCGACGGCTACTGCCATCTGGGGATCAGCGGTGACAGGAATCGCGGATGGGAAACTCAGCGGTCTGAGGGCTTCAGCCTTGAAGTCTGAGGGTCGGCTTCCTATGGGGGGCAGTGTAGGGCTTCGCATTAAGACGATGTATCGCGGGTCCTGGAGGGACCCCCTGCTCATTCACACGCGTGAAGTTGTTAGGGCCTGGACTGTCTGCGTGGAGACCTCTCTGCCGTCTGAAAGGGTTCTGGAGGCGGTGCTGGAGGGGGGGCGTTCCATTCTCAGGCAGAAGGCTCCTTTGGGGCAGGTGCACTAACCCTGCTCAGGCCCTCCTCCTCGCCCTCGCTCGTGTTGGAGGAGGCATGGCCTCTGCAACCAGGCTGATTGGGTCCGAGGGGGAGGTGGATTTGAAGTTCTTCTCGCCAGGTAGGGCCGTCGAGGTTGCCAGGCGCGTGGCCTCGGTAGCTTCGGACATCCAGGCGCTGCAACGAATCGGCTCTTGGGCTTCTGAGCTTCACTGGAGGCCCCTGGATAGGATCTTGCACTGCAAGGCTGAGAAAGGACTTTCTCGGCACGAGCGCAATCTTGTTCGCAGTCTGGTCTCGGGGACCCACTGGCCTCAGGCGAGGCTGGCGAAGCATGAGAAATCGGCGCCTGATAAGTGTCTTCTGCGCGGCTGCAGGGGCGCGCTCTTCCATCGAGGGTTTGATTGTTCCAGCTCGGCCGAGTTTCGCAGGACCGACCTGCCCTCTAGTCATGTGCAGTCTGCTCGGAAAGTTGCGCGTCTTGGTGAGGTCGGGGCTGAGGTGTTTTCCAGGTGTTTGTTTCCCTCCCCCGAGCGCTGCTTTGCTAAGGTTGAGGCTCCCGAGGAAAACTGGGTTCGGTTTTTCGGGGCCCTGCCTGGTTGGCGCTGGGGAGGGACCATTTTTGTAGACGGCTCAGCGTACCACACCAAGTTCGGAGCCTGTAGGAGAGCACGCTGGTCAGCGATGCAAGTTGACGATGGAGGGCAATTTTGTTGCCTGCATGTTTGGGGCGGTGCCTCGGGGGTGGGGGACTGACCAGTGGGCGCGGGATGGGGAAGATTACGCGTTTCATATGCTGGCCAGATTTAGTGAGCCCCCATGCGAGGGAGACGCGGGGGTGCCTCTTGAAGTTTTCAGTGACTGTGCAGGATCTGTTGCTTGTGCCACCTCTGCGACCACCGCCCTGTCGCCTGAGAACAGTCGTAGGCACATGCGGAGGCTGTGGTGGTCAAAAGTTGGAGGCACTGCGCGAGTTGTAAAAGTCAAGGCTCACAGAGCGATTCGAGAGGCGACCTCTCTCGAGGATTTGTGGGTTCTCAAGGGTAACAGATTAGCCGACCAGTGGGCCAACGCGGGAGCCCAGCTGTGGGCCATTGATGCAGAGCAGGAGCTTTTTGTTGAGGCCTGCGAGCGCAGAGTCTGTCAGGCCGCGGAGTGGCTAGGCAGATTGCACAGCTGGCTCCATGATAGAGGATTTGTGGACTCGGAGGGGGTGGGTGGGACCTCGGAGGTGGTGCTTGATCTCACAGGTCAAGATGTCCCGCCTGATCTTGCCAACGAGTATGAGGCGCAGCTGGAGCTGCGGGCTCGGGAGAGGATTCTCGAGGCCGTGCCCGCTCGTCTCTATCCAGTTTGCAGTCAGGGCTCGGTTGGCTCTGGTTCCGCTGCTGTCGGCTCCTCCTTTGGCTCCTCGGCTGCTCCTCCCGACCTGGTGCCCCACATCTCGGGGATGGAGCGGGTGAGTTGCCAGACGTGGAAGTTTGCGAGGCACAATGTCGTGCAGGCCCCTGTCATTGGTGATGATGCAGGGGCCCCTGTTTTGTTCTGCATTTCGTGCGGCGCGAGTGCGCAACATAGCCACAGGCCTGGCAAGGGCCTAGCAGGGCCATGTCTGGGTCCCAAGCACCCAGGTTTGGCGACCCAAAGATCTAGGCTCCGAAGAGGCCTGCACCCTAATTCAACGGTGTCCCCTCCCCCGATGCTCGGAGACTGTGCTGAGCCTTCCGTGGAGGTCCGAGCGTTGCGGGAAGGGAGGCTGGAGTTTCCTCAAGAGGCCTCGGAGCGGAGCAGCGACCCTGCCCCTGCGTACGGGTTGGTTATCCCCGAGGCCCTTGATATGTATCGAGTGGCGCAGCTGCACGGCTTTAGCGACCCCCACGAGGCGGTTGTGCTTTGCCGGGCTGAGAGGCGCCTCGAAGTAGAGGCTCGGCTCCAGGCTAGCAGGAGTGTAGAGTCAGAAGAAGAGCCCGATTACTAAGTAATTGGGTCGCTGGATGCGAGAGACTTCCGTCTAAGGCCCTAATGCCCTAATGCCTTCCTCTTCCTCCTCCTCCTCCTCCTCCTCCTCCTCCTCCTCCTCCTCCTCCTCCTCCCCCTCCTCCTCCTCCTCCTCCTCCTCCTCCTGCTCCTCCTCCTCCTCCTCCTCCTCCTCCTCCTCCTCCTCTCCTCCTCCTCCTCCTCCTCCTCCACCTCCTCCTCCTCCTGCTTCTCCTCCTCCTCCTCCTGCTTCTCCTCCTCCTCCTTTCTCTCCTACTTATGGTAGTGGTGGTGGTGATGGAAAATCCACCCATCGTTCCTGCTGGGCCCCCTGGGTCGGGGGGCTGTCCGCCCGCCCCCGGGCCGCAGGAGATCAACCAGGGCAAGGTCTTGGCGGTTGGCCCCGGCCGCAGGCGGGCGGCCGCCCGCAAACGTGGGCTCTCGTCGGGGGCGGCAAAGAGGAGGAGCAGGAGGAGGAGGAGGAGGAGGAGGAGGAGCAGGAGGAGGAGGAGGAGGAGGAGGAGGAGGAGCCTGGCCGCCCCCAAGCAAGCGCAGGCTCTCTCGTGGGAGGGCAAGGGCGCCCCGACCCCCACGATTCCAGCCACGCGCAGATGGTCAGAGGATGGAAAACGGTACCCATACGGCAACCCTTCCCCCCTGTGTTCCTCTTTTTGGGGCCTCTTGGGCGGCCCTCGTCGCCACAGCTGAATTCGCTTCGATGTCCCCGTCAGAACGCACCCTGGGAGAGGTCCGGGGAGTAGTGGTATCGGAGCTTTTCGATTTCCCTAGTATGCGGGAGGGGGGGAGGCTTCTCAGAAGCACCCCTGGCGCCCAGAAGGCGCGGGCCTCATCTATAGATGTAAGGCTGGCGAATTATGCGAAGCAGTCTTGGTAGGTGTAGGTGTTGATGGCGAGCAGGCTGCACGACGCCTAGCCGCCCTCGCGCGAAGCGCGAGAAAGTAGTTGAAGGTGTGGAAGAATCCGGCCACGCTAAACCTAGCCGGAGTACAAAAAAACAAAGCCAGGCAGGGCGACCCGCAGCCGAGGAGGAGACTCCTGGCCGCCGCACTGGTCCTGGCCCCCGTCTGTGTGCCAGGGGGTGAAGACTTCCCTCCCTCTGCGAAGCAGCCCCGGCCCCTCCCGTGGGCCGCGTCGGAGGGGCCCTCCGGCAGAGCGGCCGCCGGTGCGGGCCCACACGCCTGGGTACCCGCCCCCCAACAGGACAGTGGCCTGCGCGCTCGGGCTTGGCCCGCCCGCGGCCCCCTGGAGCCGCGCACCAGCGGTCACACTTGCCCAGGGTTAAGTCGGTCTTGTCCCTCCTCAGGAGGAATATTCCAAAGTCGTCGAACAAATGTGGTCTGGGGACGTGTGTGTGTTTTTGTATGCTTAGCTATTGTGGCATATGTCCTGGCCTCTGTTTGCTGTTCGTCCAGGATCCGCCTGCAGGGGGACATGCCCGACCTAAGCCTACCCCCCCTCTAAAGTCAGGCGATCGCAAACATGGATCAAGGGGGCGTGGATTAGCGACGGGCCCCGTTTCCATGGGAAACCGCGGATTGCCGCCGCCGAGCGAGGCGGCACCCGCCGCATTTGGGGGAGAGCACCTCCCCCGATCCATGGATTTGGCGACCGCGCGCCAAAATCATGGATCGCTAATCAATGTTTTTGTGCCCCCGACTCCGGAGCACGTGCACATTTGGGGCCTGGCGGCCGCGGTATGCAGATTGCGCGACGCGGAGTCGGGCAACCCCAACTTGTCAGGTGGGAGGTGGGGACGTGCAGCAACCTCACCAGACAGCCAACCAGTTCTCCAAAGCTCGGCCATCGCGCAAGCTGGGTGGCGGGTCGCGAGTCCATGCCTGCGCGCCCCCGAACTCCCCAAGCGGACGCTGGCCTGCGCGCCCGAGCTCGGCTCGCCCGCGGCCCCCTTTGGGAGCCGGGCGCCGGCGGCCACTGTCCTGCCCAGGGCCACTGCTGCGTTTGGCCTAAGGTCGGGCCTGCCCCTCCACAGACGGAGTACTCCACTCAATCACACCAGAGAAAACACCCCAAACAAAATGTTGGGGGAGAGGTGGAAAGGGGGGGAGGGCGGAGGGGAGGGGGGGGGGCAGGGCACGGGAGGGAGAGGTGGGGGCAAAGGTTCGATACCACGTACTGGTCCACACACCTTCCAGACTACGAGGGGGGGGTCGCGGCGGTTTCGAAAAACGACGGACGAAGACACATTACACCAGAGAAAAACACCAATCAGTGGATGGTTTGAGGTGGGATTGATCAAGAGATCGATGTAAGGAGACCAGCCAGGGACCCGGGAACCGGGAACCCGGAACCCACCGAAATCGGCCGAGAACCAAGAACCAGGAGCCCAGGAACCCGGGAACGGGAAACTGGGAACCCAGCTGGCCATCAAAATCGGCGGGAATGTTTCGCCAAATCTTTCAATTTCCGTTAGGACCCCTTCAGTGCAAGCACCGACTGGGGAAAAATAGTCAAAAAATAGTTTGGCGACAATATTTGTAGTTGTATGGCTATATTTCTATATTTGTTGGTGTTTTTGAACGTTCGCCCAAAATGCGCCTGTAGGAGGACATGCCCGACCCAAGCCTAGGGTCACTGTTGCGTCTGGCCGGCTAGAAAACGAGCCGTCGTCTTACCCGCCCTGCCCGACGGCCCCCAGGAGATAACCAGCCTCGAACCTATCCCTATCCCTAAGATTGACATTCCAAAAGGCGATGGCAGTCTGAGGGATACGCCCTCAAAAACTATGGTGATCCTTGAGATTGTTATCTAAATGAGACGGTGCCAATCACAGGAATGAGGGTGTGTTCCAGGCTGGTAAGAAGGACCCCAGCAGGACCAGCCGTCAGAGTCACAGGAAGGCATGCTGGGCGTTTGGCTTACCAGCTACGCTCCACAGGCATGTGCGAAGAAGTCACGCGAGAACCTGCAGGAGTACCCCAAGGGGCACAGAAAACAATGAGCTTCGCAGTCTCCAGTCAAGCATGTCGCACTACAACATTCAACATTGAGGTTTGACTGGGGGTGTCTTTCAGCGAGGGCACCACACTGAGTGCCTGCGGCACGGTTGCGGATCTGGTGGCGGATCCAGTTTGCCTTTCAATAGGGGGGGGGTCGCCGCCACGGACAGACATGGCTCGAGATGTCAGCCAGGGCGTTGCCCCAGAGAATACCTGGGACGATTTTGAGCGGTGCATGGCCATGATGACAAGGGAGAATGCTTTTCTTCACGAGTGGCGAACACATCAGAATCATTACCCTCGCAGTCAGCGTAATTACCGCGGCGAGATCCCATGGACCCACGGTCCCACGGCTACGCTGCGCGCGGGGCACCCGCACGGCGCGGCCAGGGGGTCCAGACAGAGATTGTGGATGTGGGCATGGTTCCAAGACACGCGGCGTCCAGAGAATCAGGGGTGCGGCATTGGCGAAGAAATGCAATGACCAGTCAGCTTGGCCCGTTGGGGGGCCCGAGCTGGCCCAGCACTGGCTCCGGCCAGCAGCAAGGGCAGGCAGATTCGAGGTTTTGGGTTCGGGACATGGCCGCCGTTCCGGCGACCACGTGGAGGCGAGCAGCGCGGAGCTACAGCCAGTCCCGCTGATGCGTCGCTGCTTCTGGCGCTCGCCAGTCCGCCGCCCTGGCTCCTTCTTCTCCGTCTCCCTCCGCTCCTCGTCCCCGCCCTCCGCGCCTCCTCCCTCCTTTGCCCTCTCGCTCCTCGTTGTCGGCCCGCCTTGCCTCATCTCGAGGCTGCGGATGTGGCTGAATAGCAGTGCTGCTCACGTGCCTTCTGGGCACATGGCGTCTTCTTCTTCTTCGGCCTCCCGGGGCCTTTGTCGGAAAAAGGAGATTGTGAACAACGGATCCGAGTCAGACATTGTCCCGGACGAACTCCGGGAGGGGTCTGGAGACCGATTTTGAGCGGAGTTGGCCGCATCCCATCCCCCCGCCCTTCCTGACCGATTTTCTGGAGTCCCAACCAGTTCAGACCCAAGAGTCAGCAAGTCTGAATGACAACGGGCTTGTTGTCGGTACGACCGACCCAGCCATGCATGCGGGGCGTGCCACTGCAGCGACAGAAGATACGCATCGGCCTGGTGTTTTGTCTGATGTCACTATGCATGGCGAGCCCTTGGGCTTTCCTGGGGGCGATGGGCGGCGACACGGCGCCGAATTGACCGTGTCAGTGGCGGTCTTGGCCAACTGAAAAGGTTACGGTAGGTTCGTGCCATGTCGAAGCGGCGGCAGCCCCGCCGCGGGCATTAGGGTTGAACGCCGCCAGGTTGACTGATCCACGTGGTGTCAGAAGCCAGCGCTGGCGCCGTCACTTAGGAGGCAAGTCCTGGGAGGTCTTCGTGAGAGCGACTACGGCCTACTAAGCCCGATTGAGGGGCCATTGAGCTGGATTGCGCACAGGATTAACTGGTACGAATCTGCACTCAGCGGGGCTATGGTGGATTAAGCTGGCTTGCGACCGAGGATATCCCAGCACCGATGCTGAGTTAAACCTCCCAGTGGGCGGTTTCCCCGAAGGGCTTAAGCGACCCGTCGCAGCCCAGTCGGAAGTGGCGAGGGCGTGAACATGTGCGCAAAGCCAGTGGACATGCTATGAGTATGCTATCATTGGGCTCTTTCCGACAGGCGACAGGCGACCGAGAGCAGGCGGGCCTCGCCTCGGCCTCTTCTCCGCCTGTGAGAGGCGCTCTCCGCTCTCCCGTGCCCGGCCCGTCGCGTCGCCTGAAGTCGGGCGTGTCCCTCTACAGGAGGAATATTCAAAACAAATAATTAAATTACACGCAGGGGAAATCCCCATATGCACATCTCATAGTGGTGGTATGCATCGCTAGAAGGCATGGTCCTTTTCAAAACCTGAGTGTCAGCGAATTCATGTGGAAGACGAAGCCGAGAGAGACCCCGACGCCTACGACGATTTTTGCTAGTTGTTTCATCCTTCTTTCATCTTCCTCCTCCTCCTCCTCCTCATCGTCCTCCTCTTTCTCGAACTTTTCCCGTGAACACTTACCAGGGCGCCGAAAACTGCTCCGAAAGAGAAGGTTGTTGAGCACCCAAACGGGCAAACCGCCTGAGACATCTCTCCAATCTGGGCGCGAACGGTTCCGTGAGATGCCACCTGGCGGCCCCCCTTGGGAGTGCTGAAACCAGCACCTCGCCTGAAACATCCTCGGAAACTGCTCCGAAAGAGAAGGTTGTTGAGCACCAAACAGGCAAACCGCCTGAGACATACCCCCAAACTGGGCGCGAACGGGCCCGTGAGATACCCCCTGGCGGCACATCTTGGGAGTGCTGAAACCAGCGCCTCGCCTGAGATATCCTCTGAAACTGCTCCGAGAGAAGGATGTTGAGCACCCAAACAGGCAAACCGCCTGAGACATCCCCGGAATCTGGGCGCGAACGGGCCCGTGAGATGCCCCCCGGCGCCCCCCCTGGGAGTGTTGAAACCAGCACCTCGCCTGAGACATCCTCGGAAACTACTCCGAAAGAGAATGACGTTGAGCACCGAAACAGGCAAACCGCTTGAGACATCCCCCCAATATGGGCGCGAACGGGCCCTTGGGACTACTGAAACCAGCACCTCGCCTGAGACGTCCTCGGAAACTGCCCCGAAAGAGAAGGATGTTGAGCACCCAAGCAGACAAACCGCCTGCGACACCCTCCCAATATGGGCACGAACGGGCCCGTGAGATACCACCTGGCGCCCCCCCCCCTGGGAGTGCTGAAACCAACACCTCGCCTGAGACATCCTCGGAAACTGCTCCGAAAGAGAAGGTTGTTGAGCACCAAACAGGCCAACCGCCTGAGACATCCCCCCAATCTGGGCGCGAACGGGCCCGTGCGATACCCCATGGCTGCACCCCTTGGGACTGCCGAAACCAGTGCCTCGCACGAGACATCATCCCAACGTGTGTTTGAGTCTGAGCGCGGAAATGGTGCGGCTGAGTCTGAGTGAGGAAGAACGAGACATAGTATAAGTGAGTCTTACTGTGACTGAGTCTGGGTGTGAGTGAGTGTGAGTATGAGTCTGAGTGAGTGTGAGTGTGCGTGTGCGTGTGTGTGTGAGAGAGAGTGACCTGAGTATGATTAACCTTGAGTCTGAGAAGCGACTCGAAGTTCGAGTGAGTCTGTACGTACATGAGAAATCCCGAGCATGAGAAGCTTAAGTATCATTAATATCTGGGCGAGTGCATCTGAGTATGAGTGAGTCTGAATAGGAGTGAGTCTACATGTGAGTGAGTCAGAGAATGATGACCTACGGGTGGGAGGTGTGTTCCTTCCTTCTTCCTTCCTTCCTTCCTTCCTGTGTTCCGCGCGGTCTAAGTGATGACAATAATCCTATCCTTAGGATATGGGGAACAAATGGCTGGGCACGATTTGTTGAGCATGTTTTGTTATGTTTGAATCGTTTCGGACTTGTGTTTGTTCTTCCTCCAAAATCCGCCTGTAGGGGGGCATGCCCGACCTAGCGTCGCCGTGCGCACCTCCCTTGCATGATCGTACGGCAGGTTCGCCTCGTGTCGTCGCGGCGGCCACCCTCAGTGGAGAGCGAACTTGGACAACGGCAGTTGGCCTGCAGGGGCCCCCTCGTCGCCACGGCTGTACTCAGGTCGAGAAGGTGGTGCGTCACGCCCCCCCCCCCCAAGGAGGGGTCCGTGGACCGACTTTGGGCTGCCGTTGCCTCAACTCGCCCTGCTCCGAGACTGAACGCCGCCAGTGGCCCAGCGCCGGCCGGAATTTCATGCTTCGCGCGGCCAGAACGCCGCGATCGATCCATGTTGAGCGATCCAAGCAGTGTCAGGAACCAACGCACAGGCCGTCACGGCACGAACCCGCCGTATCTTGCCTCGGGCCTCCTCAGGAGCCCCAAGGGGGAGATCCTGCCGATGGGCACAAAGGCTGCGGGCTCGGCAGTGGCGCGGGAGCGGGGGAGAGGGAGCGATGGAAGTTGCCGACGAGGAGCAGGAGAATGATGAATCAAAGGAGGAGGAAGACGAGGAGGAAGAAGAGGAAGAAGAGGAGGAGCAAGAGGAGGCTCTGGAGGAGGTGGTCTCTTTGGATGGAGGACACAGTCCGCAGCGTCGAGCGTCGAGGAGGAGGACTGAGGAGAAGGAGGAGGAGGAGGAAACAAGGGAGGAGGGGGAGGAGGAGGAGGAGGAAGAAAAAACGAGGGCGGATTGAGTTGGAGGAGGAAGAGCAGGAGGAGGAGGAGGAGGAGGAGGAAAAGAAGAGGAGGAGGAGGAAGAGAAGGAGGAGGAGGAGGAGGAGGAGGAGGATCGGCAAGACCTGCGGGCTGCTTCCCAGCAGGTGGGGGCCCTCTGACCCGCTGCCAGCAAAGGACCAGGCGTAGAGCAGGCCACCCGTGCAGCACATGCCCTCCCTCCTCCTCCTCCTCCTCCTCCTCCTCCTCCTCCTCCTCCTCTCCTCCTCCTCCTCCTCCTCCTCTCCTCCTCCTCCTCCTCCTCATAATCCTCCTCCTCCTCCTCCTCCTCTCCTCCTCCTCCTCCTCCTCCTCCTCCTCCTCCTCCTCCGCATCCTCCTCCTCCTCCTCCTGTTCCTGGACAAACCGTCAGGGGAGTCCGCCCAGTAGGGTTTCTGCCCTTTTGGGCTCGGGTCTGGGGCAGAATCCGCCACAGGCTGTGCTCGATATGGGAGCGTGCGTTGGACGTTCGGTTTTTGCTGGGGTACGAGCACGAGCACAGCCTGTGACAAGAGTGCATGGGTGCACAACGTTCTGGCAGCGTATGCGCGGATGGTCCCAGGTCTTGAGACTTGCAGTCTTGTCCTAGACCTCCGCAAATTTTAGGAACATGTCCCTCACCAGGAGCTGCGAGCTCCAGCAGAACACGCAGATTTTCCCCTGCCATTGCTCCGTGCATACTGTGCAGTGTATCGAGCGCCTCGCAGAGTGGCTCGGCAGGGGTCGATCAGTCGCCAACTTGTTTGTAATGGCACGGTGACAGTTGGCTGCTCTGGGGCCACCTGTTTGGCTCGCCTTCTGTTGCGAGCCTGTCTGCGCCGAGCTGCCCATGCCAGCCCCTCGGTCTGGCTCAAAAGAGTGATTGACGACGTGCCCCTGCACGCCGTAGGCGGTGCAGGCACTGTCAGGCGCGAATTCGTCTCAGCCTACACCACTATAGTGACGGGCTTGAAAAAAAGGGTCTGCCCATTGCTCTGAACAAGCTCGGCCTTCCGTCTTCCCCCAAGCCTCTGGCGGAGCAGGTTCTCGAGGATTGCAATTTGCCGCCAGAGGTTAGGTGCCAGGTCCACCGAGATTTGGGAGGAGATGCGACCGACGGATCGAGACGTCGGGCTTCCACCCACTAGGACCGTTTATTTGGACGCCCAGAGGAAGGTTTCTAAAGTTCCTGCCTCAGAGAAGCGGGAGCGTTTGTCGGGAACGTTTTCAGGGCTGGGGTCTCGGCCAAGGCTTTCTGTGGGGGGGGGGCAACATTCAGGGGCTCCCCAATGGCAAGCTCAAGAGCCTCAGGGTCTCAGCGCTCCGTGCCGAGGGCCGTCTGCCGAGGGGCTGATCGGTCGAGCTAGCCTCGGTGTGCTCTCGTGGGGGGTGGTCCCGTGACCCTTGCGTTGCTGGCGGCAGATGCGATCCGCACGTACACACACACACACACACACACACGCATCCTCCAAGACGGCATGCTGACCGACCTTGTTTTCTCTGCTCTGTTTGCTGCGGCCTCTGCCACGGCTGAGGAACCCAGGCCCTGGGCCCGTGTAAAAGATTATGTGGCCGCCCTCGTCCTCACGTTCCGCAGGGTGGGCTTCAAGTTTCTGGACCCTTGGAGTGTCGCAGAAGCCACTGGATGAACACGGAATCCCCGTGACCCTTTGCAGTCTTTCATAGCTTGCAGGGCCAAGTTTGTTGCCAGGCGTCTCTCGGACGCGGCAGGATTGGCCAAGATTGGCAAGGGGAGGTCCTGGATTGGGGATATCTCCCTGCGCCCTCTCAACGAGCTGTTGCACTTCAAGGTCGCTGAAGACGATTCGGGGGAGGTGGCGATTGGTATTGGGGGTGTTTGGTTTACGAGAGCAGCGACCCTTGAGGGGAATGGTCATAGGGTCGCGTTGGTGCCAGCATCGACTGCATCAGCACGACCAGGACCTATCTGAAGTGTGCCTGCTCTGGGATGAACCAGGCACCCTGTTCCACAGACACTTCGCGTGCCCAGCCAGAGGCGCGTGGCGCCGCGATAATCCCCCTGCTGAATTAAAAAGCCTCCGTTCGTAGTTTGTCTTTTTGCCCCGTGGACCTCCAGGAGCGTGTCGCCAGAGGCATCCTCCCTGATCCCTGTCAGCTCTACTCGCGGAGACCTTGGGGCCCGTCGTGGGAGTTTAGGGCTGAAGGGCAGGGTGCGCCGCTCACGCTTCAAGGGGGGCGTGTTTTTTGTGTTGCGATTGCTCTGGCATGGACGGCCGTTTTCCCTCGCTTCGGGCTGCGGACTGGGGGATAGCTGTCTACGACCATGAGCGCCGCTGGGTGGCAGGGTGGTTCGGTTCCGCACCACCCACGATGTGCCCAGATCCGGTAGCCAGGGATGGCGAAGACTAGGCTGTTCGTGCTGCCGCCCGCCTCCTTGGCGGCATGTTTCACACTTTACTCAGATTGCAACGGCACGCTCCAGTGTGTAGCCGGTCGGAGGTTCGCGTGTCGTCCCAGTGATGCCAGGGCTCACCTGTGGAGCCAGACCTCTGCCCAGGGCTCGCCAGAAGACGCCCCCTGGGAAAACAAAGGATGGCCCACTCGTCGGAGGCTGATGTGCGTGAGGGGCGTTACTCCTTCTCGGTGAATTACGCTTCGCTGGGGGCAGCGCGGCGGACTTTGCACGCCTCGCTGCGCAGCGACGCGCGCAGCTCCCCAAAGCGCCGGACTGATCGGCACCTTCCCGGGCGCCCGCGGCTGCGCGGGGCGCCTGCTGTCCGCTCGTCAAAAAAAGCGTGAGGGGCGTATCTCGGCCTTCGACAGAAAGGGCAACTCAGAAGCGGACCGTTTGGCCAAAGTTGGGGCCACCCTCAGCAGGCACGACTTGGCAGAGGTGCTGGCAGCGGAGGGCATGCTCTTTTTAGCGCGCCAGCTTGCCAGGTATATCACGCGCGCAGAAGTTGCTTACCCAGAGGAAGGCAGGTACGACAACATCGGGGCCCAAAGGCTCACGTTGGTATCTCTGGAGGGGGACCCTCAGATGGGGGAGGCTGTGGAGGTGGCTAGGAGGGAAGAAGAGGCGGCTGCTGCCGCTGATGCCCCCGCCCCGCCTCAACCCGAGAGCCCCTTTCCCAGGCCCCCCCAGAGCCCTTGGCGCCCGAATTGGCCCGCCTTGCTGCGGACGCAGCACAGGTTCCGTGGGCTGAGGGAGGCCACCACATGATGGAATTCCCAGCCCTCGGTGATAACCAGGCTCCGCTTTTGTTTTGCTCCACTTGTGGGGCGTATGCGACCATCTGCCCAGGGGCTCGAGGCCTCAAGTGGCACCGTCTGGGTTCCCAGGTTGCTCTTGTGGATCCAAGGCGCAAGAATAAGCGTGTTTTTTTGTCCAAGGGCAAGCATCCGAACCGTCGTCTTAGGCTGGGCCCCTGGGTCTTTCCTGGGGGGCAGGCGCGGGGGCTGTTCGATGGGCCATTCGTTCCTTCAGGGGCCCAGCCAAGGGGAGAGCGGAGCGGTGCGGCCCCGAGTCGCCAAGATGACTGCCTGTAGGCGGTTGGTCTCAACGAAGAGGAAGCCCGAAGCCTGGGGACCAGACTTCAGGAAAAGGATCGGGCTGACTTTCCCCACGACGAGCAAGACGGTTGTGATTTATCCTAGGGGGGTCCTGTCATGACCCCGGGCAGGTCTTCGGCCTTCTTGCCAGGGTGACAAAAATGTCATCTCCGATGGACCCCCCCCGGGTTTTTTGCTGGACCGTCGGATGTTATGTTATTTGTTGTCTCTCTCTCTCTCTCTCTCTCTCTCTCTCTCTCTCTCTTTCCTTCTCATCCTATCCATCCCCCTCCTCCCCCTCCTCCTCGTCCTCGTCCTCCTCACACTCCTACTCCTCCTTCTTTATCCTCCTCCTCCTCGTCCTCCTTATCCTCCTTATCCTCCGCCGCCGCTTCCTTTTCATTATCCTCCTCCTCCTTTATCCTCCTTCTTCTCCTTCTTTCCTCCTCCCCCTTCTCTTCCCGGGGCGGCCACGAGGGGTACGTTCAACAGGAGGGGTGAATCTCATGGCCGGTATCTCACTGAATGTCACTGTTCCCTCTTCGGTTTCCCGCGCTCGTCCGTGCACATGCCTCGGCCCTGATGCGCACTCTCCTCTTTGACGCCCCACTCTTGGACGCCTCCGATCCTTTCTTTCCTTTGGCAAGCGGCGGAGACAAGGTTCGTAGCGTCAGTGATGGCGGGATATCGCCCGCCTGCCTCGTCGCACGCGAAGAGGCCACAAGGTGGTGGAGAAGAGGCGCACCTCCACCACGGACAGCAGCACGTCCACCTCGTCCTGTACTAGCCTCCGATCCCACTTCTTGTGTTATTCCCGCGCATCCGGCGCATCCCCCAGTGTGTTCCGTCGGGGCACCGAACACACCAGGGCATCAACGGACAACCGCCGATGTTGGCCTTTTGGGCCCCTCTTGGGGGTGCTCTTGGAGCGGTCTTGGGGGCCTCTTGGGCCATCCTGGGATCGTCTTGGCCGCGACTCTTGGGCCGTCTCGGAGGCCTCTTGTACCGTCTTGGGGGCTTTGGGTGAAGGACTGTGGCTTCGGAAGCGCGAGTACTGCGTATGTTGCAAGAGTTTTTTGGTTTCGGGGATACGAAGAACATATGATTTACCAGGGATCGTGGCTTCGCGAACGCGAGCATTCAGTAATTTACGAGACGGTATTGACTCGGATACGTGAGTATCGT